TTATGTACGCGCGAAATGTGAATAACGGTTTTTAAATCACGTGAGATAATAGCGGAGTTTTAGCGATGATTTATCTCGTGTACTTGCAACAGAATACATTCTTGCGAAATTAATATCTGCCTATTATACCGGATGTCCGCGTGCCATTATGCCGGTTAAGTTATTTTTGCGCTCTAATTCTAACGCTATCTCTGATGCGTAAAATTTTTGTCACCCCTTGTAAATTACACGAACATACGCACGTTATGTGCAGCATATTATATAATATACGCTTCACAGCGTTGTATTTACATCTCTAGAGGCATTCCCCGGGCTTGTGAATTTTTGCTGCTGGTTACTCGCAATTTTTTTCGCTCGGAGTCATTCCTATGTATAGTCATAGACTAAAAGGTTGCAACACTTTTTTTTTAATAGATTTCGGAATATAGCTTACTACTTACTGAGCGGTTGGTTCTTATTTATGGATCCATAAATAAGAACCAATCGCCCGATGAATAGGCTGCATTTCGAAACCCATCGAAAAGAAAGTGCAATTTTGTAGTTCATGAATATACATTAAGAAAAATGGTCTGGATCAAATAGTAATTCTGGTAGAAAATGGAGTTCAATCAAAATTTTCTTTTCAGAAATTTAGAATTTTAAATGAATTCCAATTGAGATAATTAGAATTCTGATTGATATAATTATTGTAGTAAAAATAAGAATTCTAGTAATTTTGCCAGAAATATTGTATCAACCAGAATCCCGATTATCTCAACTAAAATTCTAATAAATTTAACATGAAAATCCTGATGCGTTCATTTTTAACCAGAAATTTTTTTTTAATGTAGATTGGGACTCGTATTTCCTTTCGTTTTACAGCGACTCAATCGGAGAATAGATAGCGGAGGCGGTATAAAGAGATACTGCGCTGTTTTGAAAATTCAATAGCACCGTGAAATCCAAGCTTCCAAAGGGCGATCTTTTTTCATTTACTCTGACAAATTTATCCTTTTTTTTTATTTTTAGATTAAACCGTTTAACTCCTCGCTATAGCAGAATCTTTTGAAGACACGCGTCGTAAACTGGTTTTAAAATTCGCTCATTAACACGATTGCATTCGTATTTATTTTATTTGTTTTTGCCGAGAGGATAAATTAATTTCTCGTTTTTATGTTTTCACAATTTCAATTACTTTTCCGTTTCGTATTTCGTTTCGTATTTCGTTTCGTCGCATAATATATAAAACTGAATGATGGCCGCGCATTACGGAAGAGAAAATGGAAACTTGACGGACCGTTGGTTCCGCAGTGGTTTCGTCTCGAAACCTCATTTTTACGCACGGCGGCGTAAGTCAGACGCGTCGTCATACAATTTCGGCAGCAACGGGTTACATATTGCATGGCGACACTGGACCAAGTGCCTATGCATTTTTCATAAGTCGCCGGGTGATCCTTTCGGAGCTTATTTAACTTGCCGCTCTGTCTGAGCTCGACAGTGTTTACCCTCTTGCAAGATATTTTCTCAATTTCCTCAACAACGACAACTGCTCTCTCTCGTGTAAATGTCAGTTTATTTTTCAAAAACACGGGGTCACAAACCGCGACGAGATTTATGATCGTGTCTCTCTAGATCTTTTCATTATCAAGGAGAATTTAATCCCCCATAATTCTACATTTATAAAAAGTAACACAAATAAAAAAAGAATCCTAAATTCGGACGAAGCGAGTCTTGGTGCTTAATAATATTGTTTAATAATGTTTCCATGTGAATTTTTAAATATATACCCGGTAAAAAATTTTATTTATAAGAACACTTAAAATAAAAATATAATATATAAATACATATAATTATGTATATAATATACGTCTATATATGTTTGATCAAGAAATATGATAATATTTATTATAATAACCATATATAGTAAGAGAATATTTTGATGTTTTTCACAAGAAATTCTTTGTAGTATTTTAAGATGCATATTAGTGTTATTATCAATCCTTCAAAATTGATGTGGATCTATTGAACCAATTCAATTATATCCCATCACAGCTGACGATAGGTTTATTGAACCCACCACGTCAGTGGCTTGGATAACAAAGATTCTGATGAATAACAGTAATTCAGCTTTCTCTACGAAGTAATATTAAGATAAAAAATATATTATTACATTTGAATATATGATTAGTTTTTAATTCTTTTATCTTTATTGTATTTTACACAAAACAATTCAATTTTCTTTACATCTACAAATTTAGATTATTCTCAAAATAAATTTAACATTTATTTTTTTTATATGAATTATATCATTTTGATTTTTTGAAATTAATTAATGTCTTTTAATCAGCACATTATATTAAATAAATTTCACAAGTTCAATATCAGTAACTATGTTACAAGTTTTGTCAGCTTTGAAGATTTAAATTAACGATCAATGTATTTGTGATATTATTTTCAGCTTTTTTTATGACTGCATTTCAAGTCCGATAAATCAAGTTAGCACACAGTTATAGAACTGGAAAATGTAAATTTTTCAGTTTGCGTTTGAGAATTTACATATGAATACTATTATCATTTGAAAATTTAAATATGAATATTATTATATAGCACCAATCTGCTTCGACCAAATATTGAATTCTTTCTCTTATTCGTTTTTCACTATTCACTTTTCGGTTCATTTTCTACTTATTATTACCTATAAGAAATGTCATCGACATAATCGACCTCCTCTGCTCCGCTTTTCTCGACGACCATTCTTTTTTCTCTGCGATTTTCCCAGTCTTCCTCTCAGCGATCCTTTTGTTCCACCATAAGCTTGGTCGCATTCGTACGATCGTATCCCGTGGAATGCAGAACGTTATAATGGATCGATCGGCGAGACATGGCGCGTCTGTACCTATCTCTGCCTCTACCCACCTAACTGCCTTTAATCATCCTTGACGTTCTCGCTCTGTCGCGCTAAATTTTCTTCGCCCTTATCCAACAACCATCTGACGCTCTCCTTAATATCAGAGAATTTCGAGAGATTCGAAATTCCGATAAATCTGTGTACCAATAATGTTACGTCACGCGGTTCGTCGCTTACTAACTAATGCAAATCGTTATCGTGTTTTGCTCGTCGGTTTCGCTTTATTGTTTCCTCCACACACTGTGCGATTACGGAAAATCAGTTAATCAAGTCAAATTTTTAAACGTGATTCATTTTCTTATTCGTCTTAATCGCGATTTAATTTTTATCGCGATGTGTAAAGCTCGATCTCCGAACACAACCTTTGCTTCTTTTAACTTAATTATTTCTTGACGTTCGTTTTATTTCAATCTCATATTTTTTTCCCTTCCGCTTTTTCTATCTTTGACTCCGGTTTAATATTTGATGGAGACACGTTACGATGATGACTAATTGATCGCCATTATATTATACAAAAAAATGCAAATTACCGTGCTCTTTTTGCCTTGTCTCATTCCTTTTTTACGTAATTTTATATTCTAGATAAAAATACTTGTTCAAATGACGGCGGATACCTTTTTCTTTATTGATCGTTAGCTTTATTCCACTCGAGTCATCTTGAATATGAAGATTTAGGTCGTTGAAGTTCGAAAGTGGAGCGTCAAGAACTCGTCGATGACTGCGATTGAAAAGATTGTGATTAAAAAAGTGGTTTCAGAGATAACATTACAAGAGATCCACAAAGTCGATGCAACTTTCCTCATTAATATTCGACCATCGATTGTTATGATGACACTCGCATTTAATAAGATCATCTGTTATTTTCATCGATTCCGTATAATTCTGTTTATGTAGTCCCTGATGGATATCCCATTAGAAGCCATAAAACTAATAATAACACTTTTCTTAATATAATATAATTAAGAAATAAGAAACGCATAATTATTTCATATTCACTTTGACTATACGCGGTCTTCTACAATTCTATGACCCCACGAAGGTTTCATTGATAATGCACGCGTATTGCTGCAGCTGGTGAATTGTACCGGTTTCATCTCTGTGTGAGTGACATAAAACGCTCATTAATATCGGAAAGCAGATTGCCATTACTCATCTTCCTCTTTTGCCTAGTCACCGTCTCCGTATCTCTCCGAATTTTTGCGATGCCGTTCTAATGCCGCGTTCTTACGCAAACGCGAGCCGATACTCTTGCGACGGTGCCGTCGTTTGTTAAGAAATCATGGCACAAATGACGCCGTGTCCGGCGTCAAATCTACGCCGCAATTTTGTCAGTGACGCGCAACGCTCGTTAGTACATGACGCTTTTTGACATTTGAAAATGAATAAACCACAACACTTCTAAGTGATAGCATTACATAAAGTAGTATTACATAAAAGCGTTAATATTTACGTTCAATGATTCGCAATGACGAGGAAATTTAGTAGAGCACATTGCGCAAAAAAAAGGAAGAAAAGAAGAATAGCTGAATTTTCCTGCGCTATTCATCGTCGTGAAATTTGCACGTCTCTCCCGATTCTTTCGCTCGACGTTATATTGAAATACGTACAAGCTCATTGTGATTCTCTCGAATTTTTGTTTGCGGGTGCATTCGTTACGCAACACCGCACAATGCACGATCAGTTGTCTACATTTGAATGCTTATCCTCGCGGCAATTTCCACTGCTCGCCGGACTCGCCCTCGCTACTATTCTCTTCCGTTCTTCTTCCCTTTTTCCCTAATGTGAAGCGGCGCTGCAATAATCGGAAATAACCCCGGCGAGCCTCGTTGAAATTCGAGTGGCGTGCTCGCGACGAGTATATTCCGATTTTACCCGTGACGTTACTTTGTTGAAGGAATAAAAGAGGAGCGACGCGACAAAAGAAACTGCTTTCGAAGACGAGAGAACGTCCCGAAACGGGGAATTTTCTTCTTCATAATTTGTACGTCTTCATCGTTCGTGCTAACAATTTATTCGTATCAAAGTCCTGCACGCTCACTAGCTAAAAATGTAATCCGCCACATCCAGTCGCCGTCTCCTTGAAAGCTACGACTTGCTCGAACTGCTAAGTCTACTGTTATATTAGCGTCGAGATTCTCGAAATCGGATCGAAGATGGAAGAACCGGTTCACCAACGGGGAACGAGAACCGATCTTCTCCGAGAGTGACAGATATAGAGTACAGAGAAAAAGAGAGGGAGATATATAGATCAGTGAGAGAATAGAAAAAAGGAGGAAGCAGACTAACTTTTTGGCGCGAGAGATCTCTCCAAAAATATTCTCAAATCTCACCGACACCTCGCACGCTCGCGTATTATTGCCTATCTATTACACGTGCATGCCAAACCGCGCGGATGTGGACTTGCCTTCTCTCCCCAAAAGTCCTTCCTTGTATGTTAGCCGATTATCGGGACGGGCGGCTCGCCCAGTTCGTGTCGACAATTACGATAATGACGACGACGTGGAGGCTCCCGATTTCCGAAGGATCGCGTGCCGCTTATGATGAAAATCAGGGTTACTCGCCACCCAGCGAGAGTGCCTGGACGATCCTCGGGTCGGCCTTGCTACCCTCCCGGAATTCCTCGAGTGTGAGCTTGTCGTCGTGGTTCTTGTCCATCTGATCGAAGATTTTGTCGACCCTCTTCTGCGGGGTATTCTCGTCCTCGGCTTGCGGCTGCTGACCCTGAAACATCCGTTGTTCTTCGCTTAGATTTTTGCTATGGTTTTAAAATATCTAAATAAATATATATCTGAAAATAATTTTGGCAACTTATCAAAATAATTACGTAATTATGTTAATAGTTCAACAAAATTATTTTAATGCTCAACTTGTATAAATAAAAAAATGTATGTAAAATAATTTTCTTTAAATCATCCAAATAACTACATAATTACTTTGATTTGTATGATATGATTACTTTTTTTACAGAATGCTTAAACTTGATGATAATATTACGAAAGTTTTGACATTCTAGTAACTAGTTCTAGTAACTAGAGTTGGTTCTACATAATAAAAATTCTGGAGGATTCCACAAAATTATTTTCTGAATTGTATATGAATTTTTAAATATTTTCACAAAACACATTTCTTTTCGTGTATTAAATTATTCTATCCGGATTATACGAATCTACAAATAGCATACCGTTCTTTAAATTAGAAAGATATTATCGAACAAAGCTTTTAAGAAAACATCAATTTGTTAGCACATTTTTGTCCATTATTTAAAAAATAGAAAAAATTCCCATTATTGTGAGATTTTTATCGCTATTACAATGACGCGCGGAAAAAAGAGATTTCACTATCCATTATTACTTTGTCGCAAATCCATCGCTGCAGATAGTACCATGATGGTTTACGACAGGGGTGGCCATTCCGTGGCACGCAAAGGCATTTTCAGGCCAGTATTCATAGTCAGTTCTTATATTTTAAAGGCCATCTATAATGGATGTAATATGGTGTAGTAAATCATAAGCCGTAAAAAATCGACTGATCGCAGTCAAATGTGAGAAGAGTAATCAACTATAATTGATCAATTTCTTACAGCTTATGGCTTACTATACAATATTACTCCTATTGTAGATGACCTATAAAACCGTCTTAAATACAGATTTAAAATATCATAAACTAATCACAGTACCATGTTAGTCTTAAGATATTTAAGACGATCTTAAAATAAGAATAGACTATAAATATCGGTCTCAGTGACATGCTTAAAAAAGCATTCCCTGTTAGAGGAAAATTAAAATTACTAAAAATGATATGAAATAATAATCGGACTCCACTCAAATTTATCTATCTGTTACACTTGCGCTGTTCGATGCTTATCCTTGGTTTATGATGGTTCACAATATCGACTTTTAATGCAATCGTTTGATTTCATGGGTTTTAAGTGATATCAGTTAATCCCCGCTAATTCCCTGCATTGTGATTTGACTTTATCAATTGCATTCAATCGTATTACGCAGCTTGGTTTATTGTTTTAAGGTCAGCTGTCAAAGTCTCATGTGCCTTTGTCGACTGCGACCTGCATATTTATGGATTACCATGTGCATACCTCGCGTTTATACACATAATATGTTACTATATTTCTCTTTGAAATTAATATTAATGAGACTTGGAAGTGATTAATGGCGAACCGTTGTCGCCAGACGGATTTACTGCGGTCGCGTCGAATTTCGTGTTAAAATTTGCATCGCTGCGCGAAATTCGGTATAAAACAGCCGTGTGAAGCGTTGAAGTATAGTATTTGCCATGGACCGTTCAAGAGTTTCGTGGCACATAATACGAGTTTTTCACGTCTCGGTAGAAATAACATAGTTTCCACTGAAAGTTTTGTTCAAAGTGCGTAAGTGGAAACCTGCACACCTTTATATTAATAATTTAATTAGCTTTACAGAGAAAGAGAGGAGGAAATTGTAATTCGCCAGCTAGTGCATATTTGCTATGCACTTTAGTGTGTATTCTCGAATAAAAACAAAGTTCGTACTTACAATCCTTTCTCTGTTGAAGAACTTGGTTGAGAAATCGGGGTCGTGAGAAAACATAACATAATTTATTAAATCTATCTAGAGAATTAATTTAATTTTCGTATATTTGTAATCGTAATTTCAATGAAAAACTCAAAGAAAATTTTTCTTCAAATACTCGAATTTTTTATTTCGTGTAATTTTGTAATTAATTCTAAAGAGATATGATTAAAGAAAAGATTGCATTTAAATAACTCTAACAATAATTTAATTGTTCACATGAGAAATAGCATAACTACTAATATGGATAATTTGATTTGAGTTTATGAAAGAAAATACCACAAAAAGTAATAATAGAATATTATTTCTTATTTTTTTTTTCGTTTTTATATGCACAGTAATAAAACTGGATGATAATACTCTTGCATTGCATATTGATTAATAAACGATTCGCCATCATTTAGAAATCGGTTTTTTATAAACATGTATCGACGGCAATCAAATGTTCATTTGAAGAGAATGAAGTTTATCATCGTTTTAATAAAAAAGTATTTATGGAATTTAATTTATCTTTATTATATTTCACCAATTTTTTACCAACAACAACGAACTTTTAATAAATCGATAGAAAGGTATCGCTAAAATTAAATTACCATATTTTTTATAGCAATTTAAATTATTTAAATTATTTGCGATTAAAAATAACATTCAAAAAATTTTTTGTTTTCATAAAATTATGTAATTAATGAAATTACATAATTTCATTCTTTTCGGTAAAAATTTGGGAAAAGATAATAATAATAAATTAATTGTATACTATCTCGAATAAAATGAAGATAATTTTTTAAATTTAAGAATTCCTTTTAAAATTCAGTTTTAATCAAGCATTTCAATAAAAGGAAGAATTATTATATTTGCCATTCTTGAAAAGTAAAAAATTATAGATAAAATATCTAATAAAATTAAATTAGAATTTAGTTTTACATGTAATAAGTTAAAATGTAATACTATGTAATGTATGTTTTTGTATCAATTAAATTATAATGTACTTGTTGAAAGAATACAACAGAATACAACAGTAAGTTTTCAAACGTTCTCTATTATATATCTAGTGGGAATCATTCTCTTAGGCTACTGGTACATAGAAAAACGTTACAATAAACGTTACAATAAAACATTACAATAAGACATGAACAGTAAGCAAATCGGCCAATCACAATAGAGAATATAAGGCAATAACATATAAGCAGTAGCAAATAAAAAATATGTCTCTGGCCGTAGGCGACACTAACGAGACAAAATAATAGTATTGTCGAGATAATAATTTAATTTGATATAACGAAATGTACATATGTTTTTTAATATCGTTTTTTAATATGTTTTAAAAACATCTTAAAGGCATTTTATGTTTTAATTTTGGACATACGTACTATTTAAGCATTTTTTAAAAATTTGAATCAAAAGATGCGATCTATTTAACGCTATAAAGGCTTTGAAGCAGGCTTTTGATTAATCAATCAGAAGAAAAAATTTTACTAATTGATCAGAGAATGCTTCAAAGCATTTGTAACATCAAATGGACTGTAGTCACAGTTACTCCATTTTACGGTATGTTAAATTCGGGAGACGATAGCAAATGAGCACGCGACCTTGGTGTTTGTGTTGTGACGTGTCGGCCGTGTCATCATTCGTACGACGACGCCGAAACGGGCAGGTACTGGTGCGTGTCGCCGCGTTATTATCCTTTGAAATGCAATCGTTCCCGATTATCACAGTTCACGATTGCCTTTTCGAGCGTTTTACTAATATAACTCTCGTGACTAATGACTCGCATCTGTCAAGAGACAACAATTATCTAACAGATATCTCGCGCGATTCATTTGAAGTGTCAGACTCAAAATAAGATTATGAACACGGGGATTACGAATTGCTGCTTCCATTGCGATACTCACAGGTAATAATTATACTCCTTTAACGAACTTGTGGATTATACCTCATTTCGCATCGCGCTTTGTGTGAATTTCTCGTGTATTTGAAAATAAAAATTCCACCATTATCGGATTGAAAGCAGAACAATACACAAACAATCAGTTTGAGCGATTCAATTAATCTGAGGCAAACCGCATATTGATCGTTTATTAATAATTAACTTGTGATGCATTGAATGAAATATTTGGCATACAAATATAATAAATTTTAATACAATATAATAAATTTTATAATATGATATATATTCTTTTAATGGATTTTATAATTAAATTTTTCGTAGTAAATTATTCGTAGAAGCTGATCGTTTTTTAAATTGTATTGCTATGCGATCTGGTCGCTGAGAGCTTGGTACTCCGAGGATTTTATATTCTGATAATAAAGAAGCGCAGATATCACATTTCCACAAATCATTAAAGCTGGTTTTATCATGTAAGATTATTTTAAATTTCACTATATTTAACTTACTATTTATCTTTTTTTAATTTTTAGAATTCTAATTCTTACAATTAGAAAAAGATAAAAAGTAAATTGAACCGAGATGACCGAGATTAATGTTAATCTTATACTGATATTTAAAAAGACAGAATAATTTTTTAATGTTTACATAAATAACTATTCGTCTATTTTTCCTATTGATTCATTAATTTTAATTGATTTAAATAAGAATGAAAGACAGACTTTTATTTATAAAATCTTATAGAAACGTACAATAATTATTTTTTTATCTTATGTTTTTAATCTTAATTATCTTATGTCTTGCTATAATTTGGATCTTTTTTTTTTAATTTGGATCTTATATTTCTATTATATTTTATAGATTAACGTAGTTTTGACGTAAATCTGCAACTTCTTTATTGCACATTGCTAAACTTACAATGATAATTATTCATTAAATACATTTATTATATATTTATTATATATTTTTTAATTACGTTGATTTATCATTATTTTATAGTTTATTTATCTTTATAATGTTAATTAATTAAAGCATAGTATAAAACGACATGATAAAATAATGTTTCAATTTCGAATAATAACATAACAGTGTAACACTTTAATGATTTTGTATATTCATAAATATATAAGTGATTCGTTTTGTTTCTCATCCAAAAGTGCTCTTTCTCATTTTAGCTCTAATTAAAATTTCTCTTTCAAAAGATATGGTCGTTCAAAAAACTAACTATGAAACTAACAATAAGCATCTGAACTGTTCAAGACAAGATTCATGGTATAAATGCGGGCTTTAAAGTTTTTAGTAGATGTCACAGCCGACAAAAGATTAGAGTGCATGTTGCGTAGTACGAGGTTGCATTGTAACTCAAAAGAAGCCGCATACATCGTGCTTGTCAGGAGCAATAGTGGTGAGAAGTTAACGTTATAGTTTACGTTACTAACTCGCTTGTAACATGCCGCTTAGAAACTGCAGAAGAGGATTATAACTTCCGCTAGATTACATGTAACGCGCCCCCTCGGATAAAATATTGACCTGATATTGAACACATGTGTACGATGCATTACGATTGCATCGCAGCTAGCTAGTTATTAAGCAAGCACGAAAATCTTGTGCTATTGTGATCTTATTTATAGAGGCAAATAAGCGAAATATTGTATAAAGATAAAATAAGGAAACACGAGCGTATAGATATCAAATAAGCGAATAAATAATAAGATATTTAAGATAATAATTATTCGATTTTCTCATTTTGTCGAACAGCAGCACTCGAACTCTTGACTCTACACGAAAAGAACGATTTCCTTGAAGTATCTAAAAATTTAGTTAGATGCACAGAAAATAATTTTGTTAAATCAAAATAATTATCCGGGAAGCTGAAGCATGATGAGCAATCCTGCAAAATATTTTAACATTCTAGCAACTTGAACTTCTTGTATAATAATTTTGATGATCTAACAAAATTATTTTTAAGTCTCTACCATAGCTAAATTTGTTAGATACTTTTCTTTAGATATTTTAACGAAATCCTTCTTTCTGTAGAAATTTTTCGCGATTGTCATCAAATTCTGTCTACAACTGACGTCAATAGGGGAGATAAAGTTAAGTTATTTTGAGAAAATCGCAAAATAAGCAGAATTGATAGGGCAAGATGCATTAGAATCTAACAAATTGAGAAGCGAACAAGAAAATGTTTCACGTCGAAAGTTTTCTCTCGCTGGTCAAAAAATAATTTCAAAGAGATGCACTTACGACCATCTGATATATCGCATCGACTATATTGTACATCTCGTCCCTTGTGATGAAGCCGTCGTTGTCCACATCATACAAACGAAAGGCCCCTGAAAAGAGACAAAGAAAGGGAGAAAAACGCGATTGACTTCTGCTACTGAAATTTCTCAAAGACACAAAATCCGAGGGTACACTTTGTTCGAAGATGAGAAATCGTATTTTCGTTTCACGCACGATTCTCTCGCAAGCTTGTAATTTCTGTGTCTCTCCGACGATATTCCAGACTGCGACATGCTCGGCAAAGCTTTTATTCTTCACTTACGTTCAGTCGTGATCGATAACAGTTTTCCCGAGGAGAACAATTGAGAGGATTTGTCGTCTTACGTTGCGATCGTCTTTCATAAGCTGTCTCGAATTTTATGTGTAACGATTACGATATGCAAATTCTTTTTGGGAATAAAATTTTCAGAAAGCGTGGGTATTAATTTATCGTTCGACAATGAATTATAAAAATTATTTTATTTTAATATTACTTGAATGTAATTTTATCAAAATTTTTATCTATTTTTGTTGATTTTATGGAAATGTAAAAGCAATTAAGATGCATTTCTGAGATATCAGTTCTTTGAATTTTTCATGCGAGTTATTAACGGCGGACTTTTTATTTTTGCAGATAAAGTTAAGTTTAAATTATTGACTTAATTGCGTTAAGTAAATCAATAATGAGAAAAGTTGATATTTGTGACTATAATTACATGATAAAATAATTATCGCTAGAACTTCCATTTTTATAATCGTTTTTGCTATAATTTTAATAATAATAATAATTACAATTATAGTTCTACTAAAAAATATATAGAGTTTGCATTGAAAAAAAATGACTAAATTATAATTAAATTATAGTAATTGCAACGATTTTTTTTATTATTAAAAGGGGATTGGCGGCGCGATTCCAACAATTGTTTATGACGTATACAAAGTGGATAAACAAAAATATGGATAAACTAAAGATGGATAAAATAGAGTAATACACGAATGAATTCTTTCAAATTCGAGTAGATAAGTTTTTCAAAGGAGATAAAGGATAAAATACTCACAATGAAGCTTTTCGTCCAGGTTACCACGTGACGTTACCGAGAGCGCTCTTATGAACTCCTCGAACTCTATCGTGCCGTCCTGAAACAACATTTCGACATATTCTTATTTTGTCACATGCGAGATCTTCTTTCCTATCGACCGAATATTCAAAGATTACTTTGCACTCGCGTTTCTTTAAAGGCGAATAGCTATCGGTTGTCAGTCGAGCAACTGCATTGGCTGATACATTGTGCAAATAGTTTTCCCTCTCCCGAGTATTCGTATTTTCTCTCGGGCCGCAAATCGAATAGTCTTGTGAAAGAAATCCAAAAGGAAAATTTTTGTCTCAGATATTTCTCAATATTTTCAATAAACATACTCGACATACGGCGTATACCAATCTTCACTCGATTGTCTGCACTGAGAGAAAAGTTTTGATATTTGTGACTATAATTATATGTTAACATTATTATTTAATCTTATTACTGTTATAATGTTAGTAATAATGATTATATATACTTCTATCAACAAATATATGTATATGGCTGGCACTGAAAATGGTTATAAGTTAGTTATATTATTACTATAAAAATGACTGGAATGAATGTAATTTATTTATAATTTTCGACGCCAACTGTATATGCTTTTTTGCACCTCAATAAAGTTATAGTATAATGTAATATAATGTTGATAGAACTATGTATAGTTATTATTGCTAACATTAATAATAACCATAATTTGTGATAACATGTAATTATAATCATAAATACAAAAAACTTCTCTCAATATAGAAAAAGAGTCAACGGTGATTACTTCTTTGAAGCCAAAATCAGTTACTAATTACGCTGGGTCTGTAAGACTTATTTAATTAAAAGTCTAATTATTTTAAGGAACAATATAACCTCAAAACAACATAACTCGTATTTAATAAATAAATATTAAATACATTGTAATTAAAATAATCCAAATTTGATGTAAAATGAAGAAAATTCAATTGTTCGATATTTTTGACAATGAAATTTATAATTGAGTGGACCAATTGTTAGCTAGAAGATTAAATGTCTCAATGATCAATACAGATTATTTATTTCAGTCCTGCGTAAATTTATTCAACATGGAACTCACACATAATAAATTAACTGTCTTATCTAATACAGAGCTAAATAAATACTTAATCGTGCAGTTAATAAAGACTTAGTATTAGAGATAGCTCCATATAGAGTGTAGGGGAAACAAAATAATTTGAGTAAGATAGTGAGAGTGCGCATTGCGTGATCGATTGATTGCATGCGAACGCCAACTTGACGAATTTAAAAAGCATGAGGGTTCGCGGAAAACCACGACGTTTATACATGTGACAAGAAACTTACGGCGTTCTCATCGAAGACTCTGAAGACAAGAGAGGCAAACTTTGATGGGTCACCTTGAGGGAAGAACTGCTTGTAGATCTTTATAAAGCCCTGAAATCACGCGATCACTATGTATATATATCATCAGCTTTTTATTCAGTATTGATTATTGTAGGTGATTAACCTTTTTCTCCGCTATTGTTATCATGTAACATTATATGATTAATATACTTCCGTTCTGAATATCGCATTCTAGTTATTTATATCAATTTAATTTCTTGCTTTACGTCTTACTTATGTTACACTGAGAGAAAAGTGTTTGATACTTATGACTGCAACTGCATGATAAAATAATTACGGTTAAGAATTTAATCATCCTGTCCAATATAATTATTATTGCTATAATATAATATTAGTGAATTCTATTGGAAGCATTCAGTGCACACTCTGCGTATTAAGTTTATCGTAACACAAATTAATGTAAAAATGTAAAGATAGAATGAATTAAACCGTAAAAGCCTCAATATATTTTATTGCGTTGTTAGGTAAAATATATATTTTATAATTCAAAATATTTACTTTTACACTCAGATTAAGTCAGTGTACAATCGTTTTAATACGCACCAGTGCATCAATCGAATTTGTTATTATTCTAATAATAATAATAATTCTAATAATAATAATAATAATTTTATATTCACTCTTCTCTTATTAACATGGAATAACAGTAATAATTCTAAAATAATGCAAATCATAATAATTTTATCATATAATTATCACAAATACCAAATATTTTTTTATTGATGGCCAAACGTTTTTTTCTAAATAAAAGGAAAGGAAAGAGTTAATATGATTTAAATATATTCGACAATGCTTACTTGTTCTGTTAGTAATCCATCGGGGCAATCCTTCAGGAATCCTTTGTGCCTACACAATACACAATAATTCTTATATAAATAATTATTTAAAGTTTACGTTGTAAAATTTTACGTTGTAATAAAAATTGGAAATTACGAAAGAATTTTTTAAATTTACTTTTACGGAAAACTTTATTTTCTTAAGTCTGCTTTTATAAAAATTTTTTTAAATTTTAACTTAACAGAGAATTAAATCAGTTCTGTCGTAAATTATTTTCTTCTGATTATCGGCAGAATCCTTAATCATTCCGTCCAAGTTCGCGCAAGTTAGTATAATAGCCTATTGCTTTTCTTAGGGACTAACTTACCATTGACGAATTTCCTTCTCGGTGACTGAAACAGAAACAAGAAAAGACATTTGAGAGGTAATTAATTATTGGTTGTTCGACATATATATAGTAAGATTGGGTTATTCCGCGCGTGAAAAGTGCCTCCAGAAGAAAAAGCACAACGGAAAGAGTCGCTGAGAGAGCGAGCCGGAGAATTATTGTTCTCCAGTGCTCGCCAGGCTCGTATCAACTGCCGTGTGATTTACTGCTCGACGGATTTACTCGGTAAATTCAGTACGGAGGTACGTGTCACTGAAAAACCCGATTGTTCCGTGAGCGATCAAATTTTTATACGGCGCCGAGGGCGGGCGGGTCAGAATCGTTTCTCTTTACGTCAACGGACGAAGAGTAGGACGTTACGTTCTCCTTTGCGTTTACTTCAACGGACATAAAACAAAAATGTATCCCTACTAGAAGTGACTGATTTAAAAAAAAAAACAGGAAAAGTCGTCGCAATGTAGGAGCGATTTGTTTGGTGGATAGAATTTATTTGCGTGAAGGAGGAACCAATATCACTTATACGAAAACAATCGATAATGGCGTTTGTCTCTCAAGACGGATGTGTACTTCTGAAATAACGAAAGTTTTCTTTTGAATCTTTATATTTAAGTGAATGGATTACTTGGCGTTTTTTTTTATTTATAGTGGTCGAAAAATAGGAAAAATAAAGAAGGTAGATTAGAAAATTCTATCGATTTTTCTTAAATTAATTTTTGAGGTCACGTAAAATACATTTGTCAAAGTGTTTTTTGATAAGAGCAAACGCGGCGAAAAATATTGGTCTGACGCGCTAAAATCGCACAAAATGATTTGTGAAATAGATTTCTGTATATTGCTAAAGTTTACTCCAAACTAACGGAGATATTTTATTTTTCAACAAGATGTCTTATTGGAATTGCATCTTAATTGATAACCAGATGGTAGGTTACCCTCTAAAGTACACGTGCTGTGGAGCAGAGCAACTTGATTCCCTACGTCAGCTGAACCGAATGTGTTATGGCGGAAGGAAGGAACAAAGGATAAAGGGCATAGGAGACGCGAACGCTCGGGATCGATAGAACACGGGAGAACATGAAGAGTTTTGCGGTTTATATGGTAATCTTGCGTCGTCCCGAGTATGCCATTAGCTTTTGCAAACAGTGCAGCTTCCCTGTCTCGTACGAGAAGAACTCTAACTGTACCGGATATTGCATGATCTTCTGTTCTAATCAGGATATTATCCCGATCACGACAGTTCCGCAACTTTTTCCCATTCTTCGAGACTAAGAGAAGTGTACGAGAAGTTTCTCGACACCGCGTTTTCGCAAAACAGATTGTTTTCGCAGGATATTTTTATCTGCACGGAAAGAATGGGTTTGCTGAAGTATCTGAAAATTTTGGTAGACACAGATTTGAATATAATTTTGTTAGATTATCAAAATAATTACGTAGAGCGCTCAAGCTGGTTGTTAGAATGTTAAAACTTTTTGCAGCATTATGCTTGAGATTCCCACGTAATTATTTCGATGGTCCGAAAGTTGTTTTTAGATTTGTATTTAGCTAAATTATTCTTTTTGTATGCGCGAAAATACACGGTAAAATATTTTGCATTTGTGTTAAAACTTGTCTGCTCAAATCTTTGTTAAAATACTGCGTTTTTAACATATCTCTCTTACGGAAGTTTAATACTGGAAAGAAGTGATTAATTACTTATTTTGAATAAAAGCGCAGTTAAAGCACAGTTAAAAACACCGTTGTTCACAGTGTTTTTAATACTTAAAATAAGTAATTTCTAATTATTTTATTAAATTGGCCAGTATTAAATTGGATTTCTGAAGGACCAAGTTAATTTAATATCATGTCATTATACGATGTTAAATTAACGCTCGGCTGTTATGGAAATTTAATTTAATATTTTATTTAAATACTTGATGTTAAATTGATATTCAACATTTTTAGTGTCAAGGTAACAATTTATGTATGTAAATAAATAACAAAATAATATACTTTTTAAAACATAAATTCTAAGATAAACAAATAAAATGTGTTAAGTTAATATATTGTAAATGTTAATTTAATAATTTTATTGAAAAAATGTGCTTTCACAGTTTGTGTCAACGTTACATTTTTTGTGTTAATTTTTTTACATGATATTTGTGTTACTCTTCAATACGTTTAGCTTGTATTAAATTAATACAAAAATTTGAACACGTGAAATATGTTAGATTTAACACAAGTTCTGAGTGTGTAAAATTTTAGACTTTTAGAACAAGCTGTCGAGGTGTGCAATTATGCGAGACAGATTGTCGGCGATTGTCGCGAGGATCAATTGCGAGCTCGCGAACGCATACCGATCGATCGTTATTTCTCGGAGTTGACGGGGCGGTGGCCCGATGGTCGACCGAAATATTCCTATAACTATGCAAATGCGATTCGCGTGGGAGGTTTCGTCGGTGGAACGATTCGGTCGTTGTCGACTCTCTTCTCAAGATTTCGCGCGACGCAAAAAAGGCTCGTTTAAACCTGGACTATCAATCTAGTCTGCACTATACTATGAATATTGAAAGATCCTTGATGTGCTGCTCTGTTTTCACCTTCTTATCTTTCTTACATTTGTTTCTTTTACTAGTTAACCGTCAATTTCGATATCTCCAGGGATATCAGTCTCGTGCTTATCTCAAGTACGATCAAACACTTTACGATTTCCGACATGGAATCATCATTTATCGAGAAAATTTGGCATATAAACGGAGCGTAGCAACGAGTCACGCCACTTCGATAAGAACGAAAATTCTCTCGTTTTTCACGCGATTGATTCGTGGCCGATATTCGGAGTGACACGCGAATCGCCGCGCCAGCTCGGTTTTCTCGCGACTCGGTCAATTATTTTCTCATGCCAGTGCAGTGGCATAATACAGCGGCTATTTCGTGGCTCATTTAAACGAGCAATTTTCACAGAGTATAAAAATATTACGTTGGCTACAAATCTTACGCATGAGTTATTTCTTTAAATTTCTTGGAGTAAAATTCTACTTGAAAAATGGCGTAATTACCTAATCATTTAAATTAGAGCCACTTTTCATTCAAATGAAGTGAATTCTTCCTTTGTTGTAGAATGAATATTTTCACTTGTAATTAAAGAGTGAAGTGAAAATAGTGCATGCATTAAGCAAGAAGAAGTTCGGCAAGCGAGTCACTGATCGTTGTATTACATAGAAATATCGACAATTTTTTTTCCTTCAAGATAAAATGCTAACAAGAATACTAACTCTACTAGTTTAAATATTTTTTTAAACTAAAACTCATCCTAATCTTATATTGAAGTCGTTGTGCGAAGTCTGATGTTTTACTTTAAACGAATGAAATATTCACTATGGTTGAAGTTAAACATTTACCCTTATAAAGAGTAAAACGACACTCTATTCCAAGTGGCAATATTTTCACTATCAATTGGAGTGAATTTTCACTCTGTTTGAATGAGATTTTAGTCTGAAAAATTTAAAAAATATTTGCGACGTTATATTTACACACAATTCTCTCTTTCTAATCGAATTGGATTTCGAATCGAATATACTGATTTAAAGACCGAGAATGCTTAAAAAATTGGCTGTAGTTACTTATAATACTTAATACTTCGACCGATTTACTGATCTTACAGGAGTTATGCAATTTAGTCTTACCGACTAAATTGCACCGCTCTTTTCCATCGTTCATCCTCCATTTTCCGCCTTTTTCGCACTTTCCTTAAATCCCTCGATATCTCCCTTGCTGAGAATTTTTTTCTCTCGAACGGAGAAAAAAGAATCGCTGAATAATATGATCCGCTTTATCGCATTAATTTGTACAAATGCGCTCGGAAGCGAGGATTAACGGCGAGCCCGTAGTATTTATCGCTTAAATACGAAATTACTTTTGCTGCATTACGTATGCATTTAATCATTTCAGTGAAATATCGCCAAAATCAATTGTGATAGAGAATGCAAATTTTTTAGGGGACACTATGTAAAGCATTGAACATATAACTGTTAGCTATGTACCGTTGCGTTACATTGTGATACATTAATTATTGATTGACTGTAGAGTGAACGATCTAAAGGCTGATAAAAGTTAGTAGCATTTAATTTTAAATATCATGCTAGTACTATTCAATTTTAAATATCATAACGATCTAAAAGCTAATAAAAGTTAGTATTTAATTTTAAGTATCATAAAAAAGTAAACTTATTGTAAACTAATGTAATTATGTCCTTCATAATGGACATCATTCTTTGTTTTTCTAGTAAGTTTTTTCAGTAAGTTTTTTCAGTAAGTAAAAAACATTAGTACTTTTCTAATGTCAAAAGTTATATATCGGTATGGAGAATAGATTTTTGCAAGTTTCTACAGCCATTTCTCGAAATATGTTTCCTCATAGTCTTCGTATGCTTCGTTCATACAGCACTCAAATCTTTCTTTTTCTCTCCATTCGATAACAATCCTCCGGTAGCTTTTTAAGTGCGTTTTCCGTCGCAACGAGCACAAGTTTTTCTAATCTGCGGTTCAACGACACGCTCATAAGTGGAAATGTCGAGGACTGTCGTGTCGGAGAGAATCATCGTAGAAATTCAGTGATATTGCTGTTACCACTTCTGTTACCATATGCTAACGTAATCTCAGCTTATTTTCCAGCAGTTGAGTTTAAGTTGGCGTTTTTCCTGGTCGCCTGTCTCGTTAGTCGTTTGCGTTCGTCGCTGGCGATAAAGTCGAAACTGTCGAATCAATCGATGCGTACTCGACAAACTGACGCGATATATTCCTTCGCGTCAGGTATTTCATATGCATTCCATATTTACACGTCATATTTTCTGCTCGTGATTCGTTTTAAGGAGACATGCATGAGCGACACTAAGCATGATCGCGCCTCGCGTCGGTTTTACCAAATATCGGGAAAACTTGTGCCAAGGTCCGATGAATTCTTAAATAGGATATAAGACAGATGTATAAACTCGTGATATGTACGCGGCTGCACTTAGTCCACAGCAATGA